AAAATTTTTAAGATAATATTTTAGAATTTTAATTAGTACTTCGATCCGCAATCCGACTAATTCGTTTAATCTGATAATTCGGATTAAAACTTATCCGTCGATTTTAAGCGGATAGATCCTTATAGCGAACCTATCTTATAATCTGAATATAGTGAACCTTAAATTTTAAAAATTTATTATTAATTCGCTATAAAAAATTTGTTGTTAAAACATAAGTTAGTAACGAATTTTTTTCTACTAGTTTCAAAAAAATTTACGATTTTGATTAAATTCGAACCAAATCCGAATTTACTCAATTCGAATTATAATCGGATTCATGAAAGAGAATTCGGATTTAATATGAAGAAATATGTCGAAGTCTAATTTTAAATTTTAAGTTTATTGTTATTTATAAATTTGATAAAATTCTTTAATACTTAATCCTATTTCTAAAAAGTTCGTATATATAAAATAGTTTAGAGTAACTATAAAAAAGTATTCACTTGTACTCTATTATTGTTCGTTTCACCCTTTCCTCTACTGAATCTAAAAATCATTATAATCAATAGCTGCTATTCATTAGAATCAAATAACTGTATATTGCTGTAATTCACTATATTCAATAACTGTCTATTATTGTAATTCATTTGCTATTCTTCATTCTAATCGTGAAACAACGCATCCAAGATAAAGCTTCAAAAAAAAAAGAAAAAATTATAAATAAGGCAACTTGAAATTAATACCTCGTTTAACGTTAATTTTTTTGTACAGGTGCGAGGAGGGGAAAAATTAAACGAACATTAATTGAAACGAGGTTCGAATGGTCCAAGATTAGTTTCAAAACAATACTTAGACACGATAATCCCGACGTGCCCATCTCTAATGTTAATTGCTTGTCTATCTTTCTGAGATTTACTGGTCTACTTCAAAATTTAGTTTAATTTGAGGGGAGCTTAATTTTCTTTGGGAGGGATAACGTTAAACGAGGTTTTAATTTCAAGTCGCCTAATACGTACTAAAAAAAAAAAAAAAAAAAAAAAAAAAATACTAAAAAAATTGTCATCATTTTCAAATATCGATTTTTTCTTTCACATTTTGTGAATACCCTTTTACTTTTGTAAAATAGCTGATTGTTTTTCTACGTTGCTAAGATCTTTTTGCTTATTTAGCAAGTCTTGTAGTTCTTCTTGAGTAAATTTAGTTTTCAAAAGAGTCTGACAAGTAATTAATTGTCCCTGTAGTTGCCCTTGGGCAAAAGAATTATTGCTCACATTTTCTGACTCGATAATTTGTTTGTTAGTCTCCAAGAAAAGATCTAAAATGGCTTTTAAATTATCACCAGCTTTATTTTTGGCAGTAATTGTTAATTGCTCAAAGTTATATTTTTGCTCTCGAAAATAGGGATTAAAATCTTTTAATTTAAGTCTTTTAATTTCTTGTTTTAAATTATTAAAATTAAGTTCAGTACAAGGTAAAGCTATGTTATTTAGTTCTTGAAATTGACTAAGTGTAGGTGTTTGTTGAAATTTTTTATTTAAATCAGCTATGGTCTGATCTTTTTGAGTAAGAGATTGTTTTAGGTTTGCAATTTCAGCCTCTAATTGTTCTGGTTTTTTATCTTCAACTAAAAAATATGGTATTAAAGCTTGCTCTCTCAAAAATTTGCCTGTATAGTACCATGCATTTGTATAGTACTGAGAATAAAATACAATTATTCTATTAATTTGCATTTCTTTAACTTGCAAACTAAATGTATTATTTACAAAATAATTAAAAGGACTAGCACTACCAGACGCCGCTACTGTTATTTTACATAATTTTTCGTTTTTACTAATGTCAATGTTATCTAAATTTTTATAGTAAATATCGTACTGAAACAAAATTTTTCTAAGATTAGGAAAAGGTACTAAGTCTAATACACCTTGCAGTTGTATATTATTAAACGATTGATAAATAGTAAGCGTGTCACCCGAAAGAGAAGGTTGACCATTACCGGTATTAAAGTTTATATTCGTTATTTCTTTTAATTGAGTATTATTTAAGTGAGCAAATATTCCTTGTGCCATAATTTGATTAGTTATATTTTCCAATTATAATTTTTTAATTTTTTTAGCAATTTAATGAAGGCAAAAGAATTCAAATAAATTATAATGCTTAGAGACCTTTTATTTATTCATGGGAATCAAAATTCAAAGCCAAATATCTAAATTTAACAATACTTTCCTTCGTGAATACGTATGCAAAGTCATAGCAGATAGATACTTTGTACGTACAGTACGTACGTAATTCATATGAATTGGCGTACCTCTAGAAAAAGCTATTTAATAACAAACTAGGAAACAATCGCAGAAAGAAAAAGATAAGATCGCTCGGTTTACGTATTCGAATATTTTTTTTTTCCCTGCACGTAAGTACGTACAGTACGTAAGTATTGTGAATACTAATTCTTCACATTCATAGAAACTAGTTACTTTTATCTAAGTTTGATCCGATTTAAAGTTAGGATTAACTTAATATAGAGTTAGCGTTGGGAAAAAATTAGAATAAAATAATTTATTTTCTTTTTAGAGTACGTATTCTATCTAATCTTTCAAAAGCATGTACACGGAATTTATGGGAATCCACACTGTCTAGGTAAAATAGTCATAGCAGAAAAATTCTCGATCGGGTGATCTCAAACCTTATTGATGCTAATATCTATATCTTACCATTTAAATCGCTTTCTGGCCTCATTGATTATGTTCGGAATATCTGAGATCAACCTGTTCGGAATTTTTTTTCTGCTACGTACGTACCTCCTTTTACTGTGAGTCACTATATGTTATACGTATTATATTTTATATGAGTAATACAGTAGTTTTCACCTACAGGATTCAATTTCCCATGTTGCCATTTAATGCTAAATGGCGTTATCGTTATCGGAATTTGAATCCCATAAGGCAAAGACTTGTCAAATGCATAAGAATTTCAAATTTTGAGTAAATCAGGGTTAAAAAAAAAAAAAATACAAATAAGAATACTGTACATAAAATTTCATTTTAATTACATGTAGTTTAGGGTAATATATAAATTTGGATTTTTTATAGGCCGTATATTTAAATATTAAATTAAATTTACATTTTTTAGCACAAGTATCCAACAAATATGTATATATTTTTTTTTTAACTTGAAGCTCTCAACTAGCTCTACATAGTAATAGAGCTATTTTTTAAATAATTTTTTTAAAAAAATTTATAAAAATTAATTATTTTATTTAATATTTAATATTTATACAATAATTAATAATATTTTAATTATTTTAATAAACTATTGAAAAAAATAGCTCTATTACTATGTAGAGATAGTTGAGAGCTTTACTTTTTTTTAAAAAAAAGTATATATTTTTATTAAATATTTGTGTCAATAAATATAAATTTAATTTAATAATTATTTTTTTTAAAAATTTTAATTATATAAATCAGTTCTATACAAATAGATATAGAACAAATTAATTGATACTAAGAAATATATATTTTTTACTTTCAAACCTCTTGTACTTTAATTCAAATATTTGAAAATATTATTTAAAGATATAACCAATCATAGGTATAATAAATAATAAGTAACAAATAATTGAGTGATGAATAAGAGTTAGCTATATATCATATATAGCTAATTCTTATTTGTTATATCTCTTATATATTATACAAAATATTAGTTATATTCCTAATTAATTAAACTGCATATTCAAAGAAATTCAAATTTTATAAAGCACTAACTAACAATTTAATAAATATTAAAAAAAATAATACTTTACTTTAGCTATTATCTTTGCTACACTTTTAAACTAAAATATTAAGCTATTAGTTTTTATTAGATTCTTATTCTAACTCTAATATAAATTTTTTTTTTGTTATTAAAGGCAGCTTATATTGCTAAAAGAATTTTATTAGTATTGCAAACAAGATTATATATTGATAATTTTTACTGTTTATAATTATATGAAGAGTGTACAACAAGCTATATATGTATATAACTTTAGTTATTATCTATTTTAAGTAATCTGCTGCATAAGCATTAGACTACTTGATTAGTTCTACATTATGTTACTATATCTGTAATCTATCTGTATATTACCTATTTAAATACTCTGTTCATTAACCTATACAGATCAAACCTAATATTATTATAACATCTAATTGTTTAAGCTAGCTAGCTTGTTATAAATCTATTTATTTAGTATAGTTTAGGTCCTCTCAGAATACATTATATCTAATATATTATTAGTATTACAAAGCTAGTTAACTTTGAAGCAAACTTACTAAAGTAATTTGTATTTATTTTATAAATTCACTTAGCTTAAATCTTTGTTAATATTTATACAATTCTAAGTTTTACTATAGTCTTCTACTGATTAGTTAATTTAGTTTTTTTCTAATATTTAGTCAGTTCTAGTTACTTTTTACTAGAGACTTTAAAACCTTCTACTTTTATTAGACTAAGTTTTTTTTCTAAATTAGATTTTAACTGATATAGTCCTGTTAGAAGGCTATACTACTTTACTAACTTTTAATTTCTATTATACAAATCTCCTACTTATAAGGGAGATAGAGGTATTGTGAACAGGGGAGGTATTGTAGTCATCTAATATATCTTATGATCTATCAATCCAAATTTAACAATTTTTATACCATTTGATTTGTCTTAATAAGACAATTCAAATAGTATAAAAATCATTTGATTTGGATTACTATATTACAAGATATTAATATTTGAATATTTTAGTTTAATTTTTTTAAAATTCAATTATAAAATATTCAAACATTGTTATCTCATGATGTATTGATCCAAATTAAATAATTTTTATACTATTTGAATTATCTCACTGAGATGAATCGAATGGTATAAAAATTGTTGATTTGGATCAATATATCATGAGATCATAGCTAGGTGATCACAATATCCCTCTATAACTACAATACCTACTTTGATTTTTATAATATTCAGATCTAATTATCTCATAATCTAGTGATCATAATCAAATGATTTTGGTACTATTTGATTCATCTTGATGAGATGGTTCTAATAGTATAAAAATCGTTTAATATGAATTAATAGATCACAAGATATAATAATTTTAAATTAATGTGACCATAATACCCTCAACTCCTTTATATCCTATCAAGATTTATTCATATAATATTATGTTATACTTCTAAGTTCTAATTGATTTGATATAACTTAATTTATAGAAATATATCTCTAGAAATAAATAGAGTTTACTATAATATATCACAAGATCTAAGAAATTATTCAAATTTGTTGATAGAAAGATTTGAACTCCAGATCTATTGCATAGTAGTTTAAAAATCTAATTATTATACTAGATTACTAGACTTTTCTAATTTAAATATTTTAAAACTATAATAGTTTTATAGTTTATATAAACATTTTAAAACTATAATAGTTTTTATTATTAATAGCAACATAGTGAACATTTGATTTGATTAGTTAATAAATATAAACAATATATATATTATCATATGATTATTAGCTAACCAAATTATAAATTTTAAAAGAAAAACAAATTGAAACTTTAACTAATCTTAAAATATATATTGTATGAAATTAATTAGATTTGTTCAAGTAAAACTACTATATTTTTTTTATTCATTAATTTATAAAAAAACCCTTCTAGTTTAAATTACAACAAAACCATATAGTTATACATGTATATAAACCTCTAAATCTTTAATCATATCTTAAAAAAAAATAAAATAAATATAATTAGCTTATTGTTCTAGAATTTTTACAATATATAATAAATATTATTTTGATAAACTAAGATCTTAAGTTATATATTATATTCATATTACAGTATTTATTCTTTTCTAAATTATTATTTTCAACTTTATTCTATTTTTATTTTTACTCAACAAGCTGAATTTTAACCTGTATATACTTACTATTTTACCTGTCTTGTTAAAAGTTTCTCTCTAAGCAAAGTTTTTAATAATAGAGATCAATAAAAATTACCTTCACTTAATAGATGTCTTGAGAGTAAAAGAAGTCTATAAAACATTTTGGTTAAACTTTACTTTGTGAAACTAAAAGTTGCCAATTGATGAAGTAGCTTTTCATAGTAAAGTTTACTTAAAAATTTTTTTTTATATTGTATAACTCAGAGTTTTATGAGCTAATAAAATCAAATGTCTACTATACTATTAATAGCTAAATATAATTTAATAAATACAGAATTATAAAAAAATAATATTTATATTAACTTTTATTTTTATTATATTTTTTAATCTAAAATATTAAATTAATAGTTTATATTAAATTTTTACTTAACTCTAAATATATATATATATATATATTTAAGCAAAGCTAAGGTAAGATTATATTTTTATTTTTATTAATAATTTAATTAAAATTTATAAAAAAAATTTTATTTACTATATAATACAAGATATAATTTTAAACTATATAACAAGATTTAAAACTTAAACAAATTTATTTGTTATTTAAATCTACTAAATATAAATATTTTAAAAATATAATAGTTTTATAGTTAATAGCTAAATTTAATTTACTAAATATATATTTTACAAAAAATACTCTCTTTATCAATTACTTTAACTAAATTTAGAGTATAAAGAAAAACTAAGAAAACTTAAGATTTTTACTAAAAACAAATATAAAAACTACTAAATAAAAGAAAAGAAAAAAGAAAAATACATATATTGAAATAAAAAAATAGAAAAAAAAATTAAAAAGAACTAGAACTCTAGAGAAAGTCTTGACTTTAGAACAAAATACAAAATTTTTTTAAAAAATTTGAGAATCAAACAAACTCTAAAATATAGATTACTTTATATAGTATAAATATATATAAAATAAAATAAACAAAAACATAATATAGAAAAACTTATATATTATATACTAAATTGTAAAAATGTTATATGCAAAACTAAAGCTAGAAAGTTTATAGATAATTAGAAAAATTCATAGAAAATTACTGAAAAAGATGAGATTATTTTAGATAATTGAGATTGAAAGTATATAGAACAGAGAAAAAGTAATAAGA